TCATATGAAACATTTCTTTGCCATAAGCATTCCTTCAGACAGCCTTTCCCTTTTAACATTAAGAAAGTATAAGATTAGTTAAGAGGCTGGATGATTTTTTTTTAAACTATAATTGTTCAATGTGAGAGCATATCCTAGTTCTTTGCTGTAACATTCAACACTCTCATAAAACCTGGCCACCTCTCAATTCACTATTCTATTGGTTCCATAATATTTTCAAAGTATTTTTTCTATCATTTTTCTATTTTATTAGTTATTTCCATGTATTATATTTATATTCTGCTCTGTATTCATATTTGAGTGGATTCACTGGTCAGTACCAATCTATAGCTTATCTGTGACAATTATCAGTTCCAAATTCCCCCTTTTTACCTGTCTGTGAAACATATCTGAGACCTTTAAAAGTCATTTTCTTTTGGCAGCTGGCACAGTGTTAGGCTTCATCATCCACGCAACTCTGAGAGTGCCTCTTTACATTTTATGCCCTAGGCACCTGACATTGCTCACCCTAGTTCCTAGCCCCTGCTTTTTGGCTGAGTTTAGTTCCTTGTTTGGTTTGCTACTGGACAATTTTTGCTGTTGTTTTGCTTTCTTTTTCGGTTGTTGTTGTTCATTTGTTAGGAGAATCTGTGAGGCAGTTTCATTCTGCCCTATCAACCTAAAGAGTCTTGTTTTTTTCTTAACACTGTTTAAACAAAACAAAACAAAACAACCCTGACTATAAGTACCTTGATTTTATCATGGGTTAGAAAATTCTTGTAGGCCCAGAGTTGAAAAAAGAATACTTCATATATGTGGAATATAACTAAAGGAAGTCAAGGTGACACCTTTATACATCACAGAATGCCTGTTTATCTTGTTATTGTTTTAAATTATGATTTATGAAATGTAAATCTTGGAATTATCGATATTATAATTTTATCAGTTTTGAGAAATAAGTAAGAGTTGAACTTACTTGATCTTTCCTTCCACTAATTGTTAAGTTACTTATGGCCCATGCAGCTTCTTTCTGAGTCCCAAAATCTCCCTGTAAAAGCAAAGCAAAGGATACAAATTGCAATATAGGGTAAACTGGAAAAAAACATTTTCTGAAATGATTTTTCAACTGCTTATTTCCTCAGGTTTTCTTCTAGCCTTTCTACATGCATAAAATAATTTTTACTTGTTAAGATAAGCCATTGAAACCAATTTACCCTATAGAAATGGAGCTCTCTTTTCACGAACTTCCCTGGGAAAAATTGAATTGATGTTGCTGTTCAATATCAGATTACATGAAGTCAATGATAAAATAAAATCAATCAAAAATATATGAAAAATGTACAATTTCACTTTAATCAAAGAAATGCCAAGGTAAAATAAAGTATCCTTTTAAACACATAACAAAGGTTTAAAAGTCAAAATGTCCACCATCAATGAGACTTTAATAAAGACATTACCCTCATATATTATCTTTCAAATACAAACTGAAAAAAATAAATTTAAAAATCACTTTAAAAAATTATATTCATGATTTGGTAATCTTACCTTTGAGAATTTACCAAGAAAATAATTCAGAACAAAGTTATATTATGTATCTCTCTATACAATGTCTTAGGAGCACATAATAGTCAAAAAGTAAAAGCAACTTAAATTCTCAACACCAGAGGAATAACTACTTACAGTAAATCTATTGACTAAAATAATCACCAATCTGTTCAATATTAAGATGACTAGCAATCTGAAAAAATGCTTATATTAGAAAAAAATATGTAAATAAGAAAAACAAAAATTAAAACTACAGTGGGATATGTACTCTTATTTATCAGATTGATAAAATTTACAAATATCTGTCAGTGACACTGGTAGGAGAGTAAAATGGAACAATGCTTCTAGAGGATGATGGGCAATATATAGCAAAATTTATATATATGTCTACATGTAGATCCAGTAACCCTAAATATAATCTGGCAAAAACATGGAAGAAACTTACAAACTATTCTTTAAAGTACTACTTAACAGCAAAATACTACAAATATCTCAAATGTCATAAAATAAATAATACACATAATAATATACATAAAATAATAAAATAAATACATTATAGTACATCCATACAGTGGAATACTATGTAGCTAAAAAAGGAACAAGAAAAAAAAAAAAGGGAACAAGGAAGCTCTTTGTATAGTGGTATGGGAGTGACCCCCAGGGTATATATATCCACTTAAAGCAATGCAAGAAAAAGAATATACATATATATTAGGCTATCATCTGTGTAAGGAAGGGTGGGAACAGGCACATACATAGGCATTCGCTTATATTTAAAGAAGAAACAACAGAAGAATAAACCAAAAACTAATTTTAAACCAAAAAACTAAAGTAATTCCCCCACATAAAAAACAAAAAGAAACAAACAACCTAACTGTGTATCAAGTTGGTGCCTCAACCACATACACAGGAATTATTTCAAGTGACATTATTTTTAAGTACATTATCCAAGTGACATTATTTTTAAGTATATCATTGATAGAAGACAAAAAAATCCTCATGGAAATCTCAAAAGTGGAATAGTCATGTGTAAGTGTCAACGTGGTCTTGTTATTTTGGTAGATTTTACGTTATTTCTCTCAGTATATAAAGTAAACAATTACGTTCATGTTTTTAAGATTTTCAGCATAAAAGATATATAAAATCAAAGAAGAGAAAATAAAAACACTTATTTTAAACACCCAATACTACCTAATGGCTTCCTTTCATTCATGATTTGTTCTTTATGAATTCTCACATTCACAAAATTACAATACATATATTTTTCACTTTCTTAAAAAAATACATTGTCACCTATTTTGTTCACTTAGGCCTAGATATAATGATAACCTTGTCGCAATGATCATCCTTAGTACCACAAATAAGTACCTCAAATACCATTTGCTACAAAAAGGAACCAGGAACACCCTGAAAACCAGTTAATTCCAGCTCTAGGTCAGAAAATATATAAAACATACCTGGGAATCATGTCATATCCCAAAAGTAGAAAGCTCTTAAAAACTATTAGAGTGATGTAAAAAAGACAAAGGCACCAAATTTAGTGAGTTTCCATTGTTTCATGGACAACTTGAGTGTCAGAAAGAATAACTACAATGAACTAAAACTTACAAAATACACACATAAAAATTCGTAATTTGCTAATGACACTAAAAACTTCAGCCTAGTCTCTTTTTGAGGTTGTTACGGAACCATGTCATTCTAAAAACTGAGTGATAATGAGCAAAAATCAAACAGTTACCTTGCCCTTCCTATATGAAATGTATTTTAGAGTAAAACAAAGCTAATAAGAAAAAGTTCTTTATTCTTCTTTACTGAAGAATCATGGCTAATATATAAAGAATGACAGAATTATAAAGTCACCATTTTGCAGTTCCTAGTAACATAAGGGACCCAGGTAATGATCATCAATGACTGACTAAAAATGATTACATGAAAGATGGATGAATAACTTTATAACTATCAGCTACAATAGGCTGGTAACACTTGAGCTCACTTATCAATCTTAATCACTAGATGTAGGACAAGCAGTATGTGTCTCCTCATGTGACTCATTAGTGCATTAAGCATTCTTACCTAAAGACTGAACCTGATCTACCAGTTTATAGGAAAGTAGCCTCTACTACCAGTTTGTAGGAAACACGGAGGAAGATAGTTACTTTCTCTTTCATGAACAGATCAGTGTTCAGAAAAAACCCTTATGCTGTGATTGTGACATTTTAAATTGTCTCTTTCCCAAACTTAATGAAAGCATGAGATGATATGGTATATGATTAAATAGCACACTCGATGTTTGATCTTGGATAATTCATTTGTTTGTACCACAGTTTCTTAATCTGTCAAATGGGACTAATTCTTAATCTCACAGAGTTACAGTATTATCCTTTTACTCAGATAAACACAAGATATTGTTCTTACCTTATCCAAGAGGTGTATTATCATTGGTACAAGATTGGCATCAATTACTGCCTGAACCTGCTGCTGATTTCCTGCGGTGATGTTAGAGAGGAACCACACTGCTTCCTGCAGAACAAGACCCCTTCAATATTCCTCATTAAAAAAATAAAATCTGCATCTGAACTAAGAAAAAATACATTCACTATAATGTCCAAATTATTTTATTATGGAATGAGTTCCATAATAAAAAGCTTAAGAATCTGAACTCCCCTATCCCCTTTCCATATTTTTTTGGACAAACTGCTAATGGCCCTAGTCTAAGTCATAATGAACTAATAACAAATTCTCGAAAGCAATGTTCCCAAACACTTATACTCAAAAGAAGCTTGGTTGAACAAATACTAAGGAACTAATGAGCTATAATACAAATACAAATCCTAAAACAACTGTGAACGAGATTCAGCATCCTTCTCACATGATGTGCTTTATTCGCTATTCTATTCTGATCAAGAGTCCTAGCCAAAGCAGATAAATCTCTCAATTTTCCGTGATAATGGAGACACGAAAAATGAAACAATGGATTGTTTTAGTATACTTATTTGTAATAGTCGTTCATTGCACTGTTTCTCTCCAGAGGTAAAGCAGAATCGGATGTTTGATTGCTTTACTGGTCTACATTTTTTTTAAACCCCCCCTTTTGGTGGGGGGGGGCGTTTGTTTATTTAATGGAGGTACTGGGGACTGAACCCAGAACCTCATGCATGCTAAGCACGCACTGTACCATTGAGCTATACCCTCCCCTTTGGTCTACCTTAACGATCTTTTCATGTTACCCTTTATATCACAACAGTGCTACTTTTACCAAGATGATTACAAGTTTTTTTTTAAACCAGTTTCATAGATAATAAATAAATGCACACTGAAATCACAAAATGAAATAAGACAAAATATCTACCTATGTGGGATATTACTATAATTTACCAAACTTAATAAATTTTTAAACATATGAATTTACTAACAGGAAACATTTTGTTTTAAAAAACTAGTAAAGAAGTTTTACTCCTAGTGTGCAGCAGGCTCTTCTGGATCAGATCACAGGACCATATTTAATGAACCTGTTAGAGATTTTAGGGTGCTAGGCTACTCAGGTGAGCTGTTCTTGGGTTATAATCATCGGCAATGTTGTAATCAACAACCCATGTATTTCTACAACAGCCTCAGATGCACTCCAATATCAGCATCACCAGTCAGTGCCCCCTTTCCATAGCCTCCACACACACACACACACACACACACACACACACACACTCTCTCTCTTTCTGTTAAGTAGCTTTAAGGATTAAATTTTTACTAATTACTTAACTTACATATTAAAAATTTCCAATCATACAATATTCAACACCCAGTTATCTCTATTTCATCATTTCCAAGAGAGCCAAATTTGCACTGGTTTGTTTTATATACAGAAAATCATGTACTAATTCATGTTATAAAGTGTAAAATATTCTATCTTCTCTTAATTTTTTCCCCAAATCCCTAATTTTACACATAAAAACTGCTACTTTATATACTATTAAATAGTATTTAAAAGTACTTACTTTATTAATTTTCTCTTTGGGATGTGTCAGAAGTGCAGGGAAGTGTGAAAGAGCATCACAATTCAAAACTACCTGTGTTTGCTCATCAGTTCCAGTAACAATGTTGCCCACAGCTCGAAGTGCTGCCGTCTGAAACATAAAAAGATTAAATGAGATGTTGTTCTATGTGAAATATTCCTTATTACCACAGGGGTATGTTAGGCAGGTTATGAAAGATACATTCATTCATTCATTCATGCCAACCTATCCTTTTTGAGCAAGCTGTGTCCGACGCTGATTTAGAACCGAGGAGTGAATAGGACAAACACAAATTCTAGCTCTTAAAGAGCTTCCATTACTGTAGGAGGAGACAGCTAATAAACAAACAAGAAGGATAATTTTAGATAGTAATTATGGCCATAAAGAAAATATGACAGTACCAGTTTTTGTGTGAACATGTGTTTCCAATTCTCTTGGGGAGATACCTGGGAGTATCATATGACTTGCTGGGTCATATGACAACTCTATGAGTAACTTTTCCAGGTACTGTCAAACTTCCCAAGAGACTGCACCATTTTACATTTCCACCAGCAGAGTCTGAGGAGTCTACTTTCTCTATATCCTTGCCAACACCTGTTACTGTCTTTTTGATCGCAGCCATCATGGTGGGTATGAAGTGGTACTTCACCATGGCTTTGACCTGCATTTCCTTAATGACTAATGATGCTGAACATCAACTCATGTGCTACTGACCATCTGTATGTTTTCTTTGGAGAATGCTATTCAAATCTTTCAAACCATTTTTAAATTGGGTTGTCATTTTCTGTTGTTGTTGTTAAGTTGTAAGAGTTCTTTACGTATTTTGGATAGAAATTTCTTTTCAGATGTATGATTTGCAATTATTCTCTTCCATTCTGTAGGTTGTCTTTTCACTTTCTCGACGGTTTCCTTAGAAGTTTTTAATTTTGGTTAAGTCCTATTATCTTTTTTCTTGGTTGCTTGTGGTGTCATATCTAAGAAACTACTGTCTAATCCAACGTCATGTTTTCGTCAAAGAAAAAAGGTTTATACTTTTAGCTCTTATATTTAGGTGTTTGACTCATTTTGAGTTAATTTTTTAAATATGGTGTGAAGTAGGGATCCAACTTCATTCTTTTACATATGGATATACAGTATTCTTGAGCCATTTGTTGAAAAGACTATTCTTTGCTCATTGAATTTTCTTAGCACCCCTGGTGAAAATCAACTGACCATAAGTAAATGAGTTTATTTCGGGGCCCTTGATTCTATTTCATTGATCTATATGTCTATCCTTATGCCAGTATCACAAAGTCTTGTTTCCTAGCTTTGCAGTCAAGTTTTGAAATAATAAGTCCTCAAACTTGGTTCTTTTTCAGGACTGTTTTGGCTATTAGCTTGTAAGTTTCTGCAAAAAAGACACCTGGGATTTTAATAGCAATTGCATTTAACCTATAGATGAATTTGGGGAGCACTGCCATCCTAATAACACTAAGTCTTCCAATCCACAAATATGGATGTCTTTCCACTTATTTAAGATTTTTTAATTTCTTTCAAAAATATTTTGTAGTGACTCAGCTTCTTTAACAAATAAATAGGGGGAAGAAAAAAAGGAGAAGAAAGTTACAGAGTAGCAGAAACCTGAAGACAGTTACCAAATGCAATGTGTTGACCTTGTTTGGGTACTGATTTAGTCAAACTGAAAAAAATATGAAGCAATCAGTAAAATTTGGATACTGAAAGGATTTTAACATTAATATTTTTTAAAGTGCTCTAATGGTATTGTGGTCATGTTAAAAATATCTTTATTTTTTGGAGATGCAAGCCGGATGAAATTATATGATATCTGGGATTTGTGTCAAAATAATATGGAGGGGAAGAAAAGAAACAGAGAAAACCTACACGGTTCACTATACTATTCTTTCTGTGTTCCTAAATTATGGCATGAAAGTTGAAAAAAATGTTTTAAATCTCTATTAGTTATCAGGCAAAGTACAGAACATTAACTTTCCTTGAGAGCTGGCTAAAGTAAAAGTCCAAGCTCTATTTTCTCAATGAAGCCCAGAAATAAAACTGAAGATGCATTCTGGAAAAAAACAAAAACAAAATACAAACCAAAAACCTATAGCAAGACATAAGTACCACATTCAAGAAATGCAAACTTAATGATAAGAATCTGGTAGGAATGTTTTAAATAAGCCACAAATGCCTCCAAATGACAAATTATTCTATTAATCAATTCCTTCTGAATTTAAAGTGCTTTAAGTTTTAAGGCAGTGGGTTTCCATTCTGACAGTATATGAATATAACCTAAAGAGCTTTTGAAAGCCCAGGTTCCCAGAAAATACCCCAGATATACTGAAACAGAATTTCTAGGAATTATACAAGAGAAATGAACTAGATTTTTAAATTTAAGCTTCACATAGTTGACTTCAATGTCCAGACAGGTTGATAAATAGTGAATCAGGTTAACAGCTTTTCTTGCGCTATTACTGTATTTTACAGGCTTTCAGTCATTATAATATTAAAGCTATTTACCTCAGAAGGGTAGGGAGAGCTTTCAGCAACTCCCTTTGCCACTGTAGTTTGACAGTTACTGCTTATAATATTTGTGTAAACTTTTCACCTTCTCTTTTCTGGCTCTTTTTAGATGAAGGTTCTTTGAGATATTTATGTGGAAGGATTTTAAAATAATAAAAGAATAAAAATTAAAGAAAAATATTTCAAACAAATGAAAGGAAATAATTTGGGAAGCCACTAAGCACCATATTTCAGTACAAAGCCTTTATTGTAGTGCAGTGGAGCTATGCATTGACTAAACTTGCCAGGTGCAGTGGAGGAGAGTAAAAAAGGACAGCTGGGGAGGAGTATAAGAGTGGAAGAAGAAAAACAGGAAGAGTAGGAAAAATTAAATTATCAATACTTACTTCAGATGCTACCCAAGGTGTTATATGAATTACCCTGGTCTACATTAGAAATCGGTACTTTACAAAGAAGTAAACTTTTTTTGGGGTGGGGGGGAGTAGTTTGTGTTGAACTGTAGTAATCTTACCTCATTTTCTCCATCTTCAAAATGAGGATATAGTAACTCACTCTTTTTATCATAGATTTGTTGTTATTAGTTTAAAAATATACTTTAAGCTACTGAAATTGTCCATGTTTGAATGTCATAAACAAATAGTGGTAAGAAAAACTTACATTTTTATAAATAAAAACTCACCTGAACTTTAACTTCCTGGTGGCTGAGCAGAGGAACCAAATGAGGGACTATTCCAGAGTCTATTACCATCTGTATCTGTTCATTGCCAGCATCAGTAAGGTAAGACAGGGCCCAAACTGTATCTACCAATATCTAATGAATAAAATAAAAATTCAGATAGCCTCTGAACATTTTCTCAAAAATTCTTAACCATATGAACTAATTTATGATTGTTACACTACCTTCTTTCTTCTCTTCTCTATCACCTAAATTCATTAGAATCTTAATCTTCTCTAGTATAACTAAACATCACCATCTGTGAGTCTGTATCAAGTACGTGCATCTTTTAGTCATATTTAGGATATTCAGGTTAATAATGATCCTGATCACAGACTGGTATTTAGTCTTAACTCACAAAGATACAAACACACTACACAGCACATAAAATAGGAGAAAAAGACATTCTCTTCCTCAACTGTGCAGACTAAGGGATAACAGGTCAAAGGACACAACGTATGTAGTTGGAAAGAGTATACATATCCAGCATATGCAGTGGTTCAAAACATCTGGGCTAGGTGAATATATTCAAAGTGTTCTCACATCAGTACCATGTTGTTATGTCTAAAGCCAATACTCCTGTATTAGGATTATAGTATTTTCATCTTTTCTAACCAGTGTGCTTTGTCTTATAAAAGAGGCAACTTCCCAAATAGCAGCAGTCTCCTACAGCTGCAGATGAAAACAATGAAAGCAATCATAGGTCAACCAGTGAGATATATAATCAAAAAGAAGAAAGAAAAGAAGGAAAGAAAGAAAACAAGGAAGGAGAGAAAGAGGCAAGGAGGAAGGGAAGGAAGGAACGAAGAAAGACAACAGATAATTTATACCAGCTGCCAAAACTACTTAAAAAAAAAGAAGCCCCTGTAGTTAACTTCTAATTCGATCATATTTTGAAGTATAGCAGGCCACTGAGTTTCATCTCTCTTTGTATGTTAAGTCCTAATTAGAAGTTATGCAAAAGTATGACAAACAACTGTTAAATTGCTAAATAATAGAATTATTGACAGAGACACAAGAATAATAATTGTGCCTGACTCTTTACTTCCAAAGCTCTTCTAGGATACAGACTCTGTGTCAAAAGACAAGCCAAAAAAGTCTGAAACCTTTTAAATCCTTTTTTCGGGGGGGGGGGGCAGGAATACTTAGGTTTATTTATTTATTTAATGGAGGTACTGGGGATTGAACCCACGACCTCGTTCATGCTAGGCACGGACACTACCACTGAGCTGTACCCTCCCACCAAAACCTTTTAAATTCTTAACCAACATTAGGTTTAATAGGACCAAGAAGCTCCTAAAAGAAGAAAACAGCAGTTTGCCCTTTTTCCTTTCAGAAATTCAAGAAAGCGCTATGGGTATTTTTAACGTAAAAAGAAGACACAAAGTTAAAGAATTCACACATATAAAGTGGTATCAAAATATGTGAGACAACTAAATTTCAACTTACAAAAGTAACTATTTTTTTCTTTCTGGAGTACCAACATATGCCAAAATTTGTTGTTACAGGCAAAAAATTTCAAGTTACCTGTGCATAACTGCATGTAAAATTCAAATACATTTTTAGACTAAATATGCC